ATCACATCATAATTAAATATGACCACACAAGACATGCACCCCAAATATCCCAAATTTTCACGGCCGGATTGGCGTAAAAATTATTCCACCAATTATCCAAAACCGTGAAAAAAATGTGGAATTTTCGCATGAGCCCCTCATAAATTCCGCTTAAAAGATATTCGAAACCTAATAAAAAAGTGGTCAATGACCGGAGAGTATAATAGTGGGTGAAAAATAAAGAGTGTGAGAAATATGCGAGAGGAAAGTACCTAGTATGGGTTATCCGTAGGATGGACAGTGCTCGGAAGCCGAGGTTGGGGTCCCCTCTAATGGCTCGACACGGTGTGGGGGCACAGCTGTGGCCGCAAGTGTGATAAATGGCTGCGGAGAGCATATACAAACCTAAATATATAGCCACAAAAGCTCGTCGTCGCAACAACGAAAGCCGGGCCGCGAACTAACGCCTCATCCGAACCCTCAAACCTTTCCATCCCTCTCATCTCCCCCCAACTCTTCCACCTCTTCCACCTCTTCCACCCTTTCCACCAATTCTACCCATTCCACCCCTTCCAGCCCTCCCACCCCTTCCACCACTTCCACCCCTTCCACCACTTCCACCCCTTCCATCACTTCCACCCCTTCCATCACTTTCACCCCTTCCAACAATTCCTCCCACCCACTCACCACCCAAGAGACAGATCATTCCCTCTTAATGGGAAAATGCACGTGAAACCATACAATACATAGAACCAACGCGATACTTGTCGAATTCGAATGTGCGGATTGAATTTGCGCGCTTATTCGCATGAGCTTTCAATGTTACACGTCAAAGATAATCTCACAACGCAAAATTTCCTCTCTCATCCACGGACCCCAACAGGAATGACCAGTTTTGGCTCATTCCCCCAGATCCTCCCGATTTACCACAGCTCCATCTCTATGACGAGTCTCCCTCTCGACTTTACGATCTATCCAAAGCTCAGTCGAATATTCATTTGTACACCCGTGATCCTCTCTCTGTGGTATTGCGTTTCAAACGAATGACCGCGGTGCACTTGTGGTATGAATAGAATATTCACCGGAAACGCGAGGGCTAAAAAAAAATATTCATCCCTTTACGATGGAAAAACTGGACAATATTTCAGTGAAACAAAAATTCAGATCTAAAAAGAATTTCGGGGATTGCGCGTAACAATTGTGAATTTTTTTTGATAGTTTTTTACGTGGGGGGTGTGGGGGAGATTTTTTTAGCAGGTGTCACGAACTTTTCCGAATTATGTCGTCAATAATTTAGGAGTTGGGGGAGATTGTTTGGTGATTGAAGGGTGGGGAAGATCCATTACTTAAAGATTTAGTCTGAGATGTCATTATTGTTCGGTGTTCATTTGGTTTTAATTATTTAAATAGTTCAGATTTTGGAGACTTGTATTCGTTAATGATTCTTGTTTATTCCTGGGGACATCCTAAATTTCGGCACGATTTTCGAAATATTGTCGTAATTTTTAGTAATTGCGGTTCTTCGATTCCGCATGGAAACATCCAGAAGTGCATTGTTAATTTATTGGCAATCATTATATTATATTATGTAATTAAATAACAACTCCCCAGTTGTTTATTACGTTTTTTTATGGCGATTCTCATGGAAATAAACTCCCGCTTTTTTGGAATTTTCAAATGGTTTCTCACGGTTCAGAATGAAGGATATGTTAATATTCGAAGGAATTTCAATTTTCCAACCCATAAGCCACATAGAAAAAAAGTTGCTAGAATCAAGGATGAGTTTTCCCGAATCAATAAAATAGTTCCCCAACATTCAGAAAGTTCTTCTCCATGGATAATAAAATATTCGAAGCTATGTCAGGATAAAAAATATTCTGAGCCATTGCGCTACATGATTACTACGCATTACAGTTAATTTTATTGTAAATTCTAATCCTTATGACGTATGAGCTTTAAAGGAATTTTTACACAAATATTATATAGTAAAAATTACTTTTTTTTCGTTATAAATTCTTCGGAAAAATTCTAATTCAAAAATTGAATTGAAATATTACCAGAAAAATATCTCAATGACTGGCGAAAAGACAGTCAGACAGACCCAGTTGTTGTGCGCACAAATTGATGACTGATATTTACGTTTTGCTCGTAGAATTCACGTGACGACCCATAAAAATTCTGCTCCAATTTTTAATTGGACCTCACTTCGCTTACCGATTACAGTTCAAAAGTGATTTTTCTCTTCGCGTAAAAATCTCGGGAAATACCCCACATTTTGTCTCCCCCCAAAAAATGTTTCACTAGACAACGAGGGAATGTGTAATAACGAGATTTAGGGTGAGTATGGCAATCACCTTGAAGAGAAAGGGATGAAGTGTAAAAAAGTGTAACTTTAGGTTTTGGTCACGAGAATTCATCCTGATGTGGTACACTCCAAACCTTTCCAAATATTTCTCTCCTAAATTCACCCTCATCTCACCTCGTTGCCACTTCCCTTTTCAGTTTCTACAATTTTGGGTGACATGCGCGCATGTATTATCACCCCTGGAGAAAACAATTCTCGTAGCTATTCGGGCGGGAACACCGTATGGCGGAGACAGACGCGCAAATGCTGCAGATTCCGGAATTCCCCCAGCGACAAATTTCTCGGTGGCTCCTAGGAAGTATACCCAACTATTGTGGTGTACTATACTTTCATCCACTCGAGACGTCTTCCTTGCAATGTTAAATGTAGGGTACACCATTGTTTAGGAGTGCACTGCATTCTCCGAGGATTTTAAATAACCCCCCCTCTTCACTATCATCCCCAAGCTCCTCCGCCCCCTCCGATTATCGTTATTATCTGTTGAGACGATTCATAATATAACGCGTTGAGCAACTTTGAGCTAAAGTTGTCAATATTTATGCTGAATGGATTCGGCCCCAGGGGAAGATTCCGAGTCCCGAGGATGTATGGAGAGACTCAACTGCTACTTGATTTTACATTCTACAATTTTACTTTTTTATCTTTACGTTGGATTTTACTTGATCATACTAGATGCGATTTGCATTAACAATTTATTTTGATGAGGAAAGTTATTAATTCCGAGAAAAACTAAATGTGAATGTTTAGATAAATTTATTTCTGACGAGTCGATCGTAAATATTTCCGAAAATCTTGACATCTTTTTAATTGAACTCCCTTCAATGAAATTCAGTTAACTCTTAATTAATAAAAATGCTTTTAATTTTTAATTTGTTGTAAAAATTCCAGAAAATTATGTTTTTCCGTTGAATAATAATTTATCTCCTAAGAAATATAAAATTCAGAGAAAACATTGCTTGTTTAAAAAATCCCGACGATTTTCCAGTCCCGAATCAATTCGAAAATAAAGAATAATCGTCAATAAAAAATGTTAAATTTTTTCTTTAAAATTGCAAATGTAATTCTCCACCAGTGTATTTCTCTCTGTAAAACCTCAGAGTCACGTTGAAACGATGCCCCAGAAAATAGTGATCTCGTCCCACCCGAGTGTCAAGAGATCATCGACTCCCGACCTGGACAACATCGAGGTCGCGGTGCGCCACGTGTTTTTATCACAAAAAAAAAAAAATCAAGTCACCCCCCGATCCTCGAGACTAAAAAAAGGACATCCCGATGAACGAAGAAAAATGAGGGAGGATGCAAATTACACGGGCGAGTAAACCGAACCTCATCCTGCCGGAACAATCAATCGGAGAATAATTAAAAAACCCGTCGTTCAGAAATGCTCGCGAGCAGATGATGCCCCCGCTTCCTAGTCTAATAAAAACCACTAAAATCAAATAAATGGGAAGAATCAATTTCCCTAATTAGGACAGAGTCCGATGCCCGATAAACTGACAGTTCAACGTCCTGAAAAGCCCGATGTCACGTGGCCTGCGTTACACCATAAACCAACACTCATCGTGTCATCTCAATTATCAGAACTTGTGTCTCAGATAACATCATCCCTGTCTCTTCCTCTAGTCTCTAATAACGTATTAATAGAATAAATCGATAGGCTACCGGTTCGATTAATTCCCCGCGCACTTCGAATCGCGATTCGCTCAGGGCAGGGATTTTCGACTGTATCCTTTCAAAATTTCACATGTGCTGGAAAATTGATGAACTTTAAATATATATTGAATTCTTCATCAACGAATTAATTAATGACCTGAGAGCAAATAGTTCTCAATTTTTAAATTCACACTTGCAAAGAAAAAAACGTTGGAAACTCAGAGAATACAATAGCTCATCAATTTTCAATATTTTGAAGATTGATTTGGAGTTCGTGTTCACTTTTCATGAGTTGGAAAATTAAAGGTTTCAGTGACTACTTCACTGAGTTCATCTTGAATTCTCGTATTCAAGTAACTGAATAATTTCAGCAACGTTTTTAATTGACAGATAAAAAACGTGCTGGAATATATTAAATTTATAGTAGAATCAAGACATTTTTAGTGCAAAACTTTCCGGATTATATTTAATACTTAAAATAGACCCGTAAAATGAGTAATTAAATCAATGATACTCCGTGCTAAACCCTAATCGTAATAAATAAAATAAAAAACTGAGAAGTCATGTTCCCAAAATTTCAAGAAACTTGTAAACGTGAGTGCCGACCACGTTTCTCCACGATGACGTAACCAGAGAGACCGCAACGCACCCACTGGAGGCGCGATGCCGGCGTATATTACACTCCGAAAAAAAAAAAACTCCTAACATAATCCTCTGCCAACCAAACCCATATCCCCCGAAAATTCCAAAATACCACTGCACAAATAAATTGACCACATTCACCCATCCGCAATGCCCCATTGTAATCGCAACTTATTCCACATCGCATTCACTTCTCCCACAAAATTTCAATGGTCCATCCGCAAAACCGTGGAACAAATAATTCAGCGATGAATTGCGTAGAACAAATTCAGCCCATCGCAAAGGCTACCATTATATTGTTAATTTAAATCCGGCTAATTATGAATGATTAAAAAAACATTTTTGAATTTCGTGCACTCACCGGAGCTGGACACTGGAGGAGTGGTGGAATTCCAAGATAATTGTTCGAATTAGTCACAGTCACTTGAAACTAATAACTTGTTTGGGTGCACGTGATGGAGTTTGACAGCTGATCGGTGTGGGAGGGGAAATAATGGGAGGATGACCACTCGCCACGAAGTGCCGCGGCAGACTAAGAGTTTTGGCTCGGCGCACAATTCCTTGGTACGTCGGCGTCACCTACTGTGTGTTGTTGCGCATCCAAGTCGGATGCTGCACAACTACACGAGATGCGTGCGATGACCGCTTTTACCCCGCGCAGTCGCCACTTTCTGTTTCCTCCTGGTTACGTCCTTTTAACGCTCATCCAACACTCGACTTTACACTGCAACTGAAAGCCCAATTGAAGGAATTTATTCAATTCGCCAGGTTACAACGCTCATTGCATTTGGGGAGTTCACATCATTTCCTTTTTCATCTTTCTTTAAAAATTTTTGGAAAACTCGCAGGCTTTTTTTTTGGGAATTCAAGCATTTTTTAACAATTAAAGGGCAATTTGCAGATGTTTCATTGTATATAAATTATATTAGTCTATTTGCAATAATGCATTTCAGATTTTTTAGAACATTTGGAGAGAAATTAAAAGACTGGATGAAAACCATGGATGGAATTCTTTTTTACTATGGGAACATTTTTTGACAATTCAAGGCTAATTAGGAGATATGTTTGGCTGATGCAGGAAAATTAATGGGCAATTATGACATTTTGGGAGTCATTAAATAATGATAAAATGTCAAAACGATGTATTTGCAGGGCTCGAAACGCCTTTTAAAGGGATAATGAAATTGGGGGAATTATTCGGATTGGATGGATAATCAGTCAGGGAATCATTGTGTCACTCTTCCCGATGAGTCTCACGGAATCCCGACATCTGCTCCAGATTGTCGGGAAATTTCAAGGCTCTGACCTTGAGGAAATTCGTAACGGGATAGGTCGGGGAAAGCATCTGGAAATTTCTAGGGTTTTTAAAGTTGGGGAGTCCTGCGGAATTCTTTTATTGACGGTTTTGGACTTGTTAGAAATTCAATGAGACTTGTAAATATAAATATAGCTGCATTATTTCATAAAAATTAATAAAAATATTGAAAATTCCGGTAAATGTTTGAGAATTTTTTGTTTTTGGAAAATTCAGTACGATTCTGTGTTAAACAATTATTATATATTGTAATTATAAATTCGTTGAAAAATTCTCGTTTTTATGTTGCCCAAATTTTATTTTTCTCTGAATTTTTTTTTCAGTGTTGTCTCAAATTTCAATTATTATCCTGAAAATTAGTAGTCGATAATCCAAGAAATTTTTGAAGAATTATTATTATTCAGAAATATTGGGACTTCAGATTTCATGGAAATAAAAAAAATGACATTAACCCACAACATATATTTTGTTTTATATTTCGATATATTTTTCGAAGAGAGGAGTCCTAGTCTTCACTAGATTCCTATTAACGTGCATGCCCGATTGTGAATTTTTAATGACCGAAGTGTTTCGAAATTTTGCTGGACCAGCGATATCAACCATTTCCAAACAAGCAGCGAAAATACGAGTCATATATTATTAATAATGTCAATGGATATACGGCAATTGCATTAACAATTTACAATAGAATTCCAAATAGCCACAATAATTCATGCGATTTGGTGCAATTTTTTGTGGAGTTCTCTGCCCATAGCGGTATGCAAAAATGAAGAACGTTTATTTCATAAAAAATGACTGTGACAGAGGAAGCCTGAAAAATATTCCATTCCATCTCTGTAACTCCTGTATTGTTTCGTTGGAAAGATAGACAAATCCCTGGAATCTTTGAGCATTTTTATCTGAAATTCAGAATTTATGGGCAGGAGATGAGTAAATAGGACTTCTCTTGCAGAAACTCGGTAAGACCGCGCAAAACTTGGAAAGTTTGCTAGAATATCTAAGAGAATGTTGCGTTTACATACGAAATTTTCCTAATCAGATCTCACTCTTCCATGTGGAAATGTATTTGCATATGATGCGAGCGCAAATAGAATAGAGTGTTGTAAATTCTCTGCGAGCATTATCGAAAGAGACAGAAGTTTTCCCACAAATAGCGTGGTATTTACTGTAAAATTGTGATGTCTATTCTTCAGGCATTTCTGTTTCGGTAGAAATAGAAATTGACACGAAAAAAAAAAATTCATAACCAAATGACCAATTTTGAAATGTTCGATAAAAAAATAATTAAAAAAGTAATGAAAATGCAAAAATAAAAGATAAAAAATAAAAAATAAAAAATAAAACGAGGATGAAAATGTTTGGAAGCCGAAATGCGTAGGAATATGAAATTTAAATAAGTATGAAACAAGTCGTATATCATTTCTCGTCGAGTCTGGTGTAATAAAATTCAGAGAGTATGTATAGATCCTATGGGACATTACCTCGGGGTGCGTCGAGAGGACGTTTTTGAAATTGATTCGAGGTTGTGTGAAACGAAATGGAAAAAAAGAGGAAAATGAGTTTTCTGGCGGTTCCCCCTCTCTCCCAAGACTCTTCTCCTATTTTTCCCTCTTTTACTTCTCTATACGGGTTCTATCAATGGTCCATTCTCGGGAGAAAAGGAGAGACTGGCCGAGACAATTTATTTCACCCGTTTTCAACTCTCATCACTCTCCTTCACTCCAGTCACTTTACGTCGCATTACGACTGGAGGACAATTTTTCTCAGCGAATTGGAATTTCTCACAGTTGTATCTGGATCCACATGACCATAAATATTCATCGGAATTCTCGATTGAAGTTTCGATCAAAGAAATATAAATTGGCACCTCTTGCATTAGAAACTTGATTATCGTCGCGTTTTCGCTGATGGAATCCCTCTCGTTGGTCTTGCCTTTTTTCCCTCTTGGATCAACTCGACAGAGGGTGTGCATCACGTTTTATACAGATAATAAAATTGATAGCAGAGACTAAAGCAATGAGTCTGCACGCTCACTGCATGCCAGATATTTTTTAAGTAAATTCACTCTGCTACTCCGCTACCCAAACTATCAGTATTTCCTATTTTTCATTATTTATTCTTCTCAGCCTATTTTTCGCTGCAAATTCACACAAAAATTACGCAACGCGCCGAAAAAAATCTCCGACAGTTAAAAAATTGTTCAGTAATTAATAATAGTTAATAAATACCGTGCTTCATGTCAATAAATGTTCGGCTATACAACGAGTACGTTTATTGGTATCGAAGATGTACGCAACTTCAAAATTTTTTTTTCAATGTGACCCTCTAGTCGCTTTTCATGTGTTTTTAAATTTTCATTTTTTAAGTAGGAAATTTTTGCAGGGGATTGCAAAGACGTAAAACTTTTTTTTTCTATTAAAAAAAAATATCTAATCCCCGAAAAATAAATTTATCGATTGAATTATGGGTTCATAGAGTGAAATAAAATTCATGAATTATCCCCATCCCATATATCTCCGCGAGGATTTTCAGTAAAAAAAAAATCGACTGCTGGCTACCGTAAAAACTCTGAGGATTTATATAAAAACGCAATTTCTCGTTCTTCAATTAAGAATAATGCTCTCTATCACCAAAATCCCATCCAATCATCCCCTTTAACGCCCGAAAGACGTGAAACGCCAAATTCCTTCATCAACGACCAAAGTTCCGGTGTTCCAAAATTTCCAGAGTAACACATGAATTACCTCCATCTAGCAATTAGGTCCCCATTTTCCGCGTGAACTCCGAAATTTCCCCAAAGAATAATCCCCACATATTTTTTCCAACCCCATCGCTGCAAAAACCCAAAACAAAAGAGATTAATTATTCCACCAATAGAAAAATAATCCGAGGGAATCACGAAAATTCGCGAATTAAAAAGCGCCTGAGGCTTGGCAGGGGTAATATCCGCGACTCAAGAAGAAGTTGAATAAAAAAAAATACCTGAGAAAATAAAGGATGAACCAGCGGCATGCGTTTGAAACTTAGTTGAAGCGAAAAGTTTTATCGCTTTTTTTTACACCGATAAGTCTATAGTACACACATCGCTCTCTTGATACCACTACTTCCGGATCTCTATAGCGTTCACTTTTTACCCACTTGCTCCTGGCGTTCTCAAACATTTACCCCCTCCCCTCGTAGCACCCTCTCGGAGGGTTGGTCGTTTACGATGCACCGTCGACGTGAAATCCAGGGGGTAAGGGTTCGAGGCCAAGTTTTGGCGCGTGCTTGCAAAGATAAAAGCTCGTTGAACTCATAAACAATGAATAAAGGGAGAAATACAGGGTGGTGGCTGGGAGGAAAATGAGGTGAGGTGGTGATGAGGGTGGGGTGATGAAGCTGACACAGGATTAGCCGTAGCGTCATGCCTTTCCCCTGTGGCACCCACAACCCGGAGTACTAAGCTTCACTATTTCACTCCCTCTTGGTCCCTTGTCTTTGTGCATCACCATGCACAATCATCTCGGATGTACTCAAAAAGATATGAAAAATTCTCGTGTAATCCGGGGTGGACCGACAAAAGTAAACGGCAAAGAGGAAATATAAGATAATTAAAAGAGTTGTTTTCGTAGGCATACACGGACGACGGAGATTTCTCATGGAAATTCTTCGCTAGTTATAATTCTCGTATGTAATATACACCCTGAATAATTTATTTTAAAAATTCTCCAGACGCTAAATTGATGTGAAATTAAATTACTAAATGAAATTACATTTACACAACTTTATGCAATTTTTTCATTGATTTTTTCGTAAGACTTTCTGAATTTAATATTTCGATTATATTTTATTTTATTTTTATTTTTATAGTTCATTTTTCAATCTGCAGGAATTTTTTAATCATCGGCTGTTTGCATTCAATAGTTAGAAATTATCTATCTTATCGGGGATTTATAAGGAATTCTCAGGAATTTTAATTGGAATCTGGCTTTCATAGTTTTTGAATATTTATTGAATATTTCTCTCTGGTTGTAAACAGATGGAGGAGTTGGGTTTTTTAATTGAAAAAAATTGAGAATCACGAGTGGACGAACGAAAGGGAAGCGCGAAGAGGGAATATAAGATAATTACAAGAGATGTTTTCTGGGAATACACAAGGGGGAGAAAATTTTCAGAAAAATTTTACTCTGTGATAATTCTCGTATATAATACTACAAGAGCTTCAAAATTGTCGGGCATTATTTGATAGGTTGGTTGTGCAAAAACGAAGGAGTCAAGTTATTTAGGTTGAAAATTCACGTACAAAGCGCGAGTGGATAAAAAAAATGAAGGGCAAAGAGAAAATATAAGATAATTAACGGAGTTGTTTACCGAGAGTACACAATGGAGATAAATTTTGTATAAAAATTCGACCTATGAAAAGTTTTCGTAAGCAA